CAGGAAAAATGTGAAAAGTTCTGGGAAAAATCCTGGGAAAAGAGTGGAATTCCTGGGAAAAAGGGGAAAATTCCTGGGAAAAGTGGGAAAATCCCCCCCAAATAAAGGGGCAAAAATCCTGGGAAAATCCATGAAAAGAAGGGGAAAAATCCCGGGAAAAGCTCAGAATTCCCGGGAAAAGTGCAGAATTCCCAGGAAAAATCTCTGAAGAATAAGGGAAAAATCCTCGGAAAATCCTTAAAAACAAGGGGAAAAATGCCAAGAGAAGTGGGAAAATCCCTGAAAAAAAAAAGCAGAATTCACAGGAAAAGCTAAGAATTCCCGATAAAAGGTGGGAATTCCCAAGAAAAATGGGAAGATCTCTGAAGAAAAGGGGAAAAATCGTGGAAAATCCCTGAAAAAAAGGGGGAAAAATGCCAAGTGGGACATCCTCAGAAAAAAGGGAAAAAACCTTAACCCTAACCCTACTCCTAACCCTAACCCTAACCCTAACCCTAAAGACAAAAATCCCGGGAAAATCCCTGAAGGGGAAAAATCCCAGGAAAATCCCTGAAAAAAGTGGAAAAATGCCAAGAAAAATGAGAAAATCTTGGGGAAAAAAAGGGGAAAATGCTGGGAAAAGTGGGAAATTCTCAGGAAAAGTTGGAAATTCCCAGGAAGAAAGAGGAAAAATGCCAAGAAAAGTGGGAAATTCTCAGGAAAAAAGGGGAAAAATCCTGAGGAAATCCATGAAAAGAAGGGGAAAAATCCCAGGAAATGCTCAGAATTCCCAGGAAAGGTTCAGAATTCCTGGAAAAGTTGGGAATTCCCAGGAAAAGCTCAGAATTCCCAGGAAAAGTGGCAAAATCCCAGGAAAGGTGTGGAATTCCCGGGAAAAGTGGGAAATTCCCAGGAAAAGTGGAAAAGTCCCTGCAGAAAAGGGGAAAAATACCGGGAAAATCTCTGAAAACAAGGGGGAAAAAATCCCAGGAAAAGTGGCAAAGTATCTGAAAAAAAGGGAAAAAAACCCAGGAAAGGCTCAGAATTCCCTGGAAAAGCTCAGAATTCCCAGAAAATTTCAGAATCCCAGGAAAAGTTCCAAATTCCCAGGAAAAGTGGAAAAATCCCAGGAAAGGTGTGAAATTCCTCAGGAAAGTGTGGAATTCTCGGGAAAAGTGGGAAATCCCCAGGGAAAAAGGCGGAAAATGCCAAAAAAAGTGGAAAAATCTCTGAAGAAAAGGGGAAAAATGCCAAGAAAATGGGAAAATCTCGGAAAAAAGGGAAAAATGCCAAAAAAAGTGAGAAAATCTCGGAAAAAAAAAGCGAAAAATGCCGAGAAACGTGGGACATTCTCAGGAAAAAAGGGGAAAAATCCCTGGAAAATCCGTGAAGAAAAGGGGAAAAATGCCAAGAGAAGTGGGAAAATCTCAGAAATTGTGTGAAATTCCCAGGAAAAGTTGGGAATTCCCAGGAAAAATGGGAATTTCCCAGGAAAAGTGCAGAACTCCCAGGAAATTTGGGGAAATTCCCCAAAAAAAGGGTAAAAATCCTGGGAAAATCCCTGGAAAAAAGGAAAAAAATCCCAGGAAAAGCTCAGAATTCCTGGGAAAAATTGGGAATTCCCAGAAAAAGTTGGGAATTCCCGTGAAAAGTGGAAAAACCTCTGTGGAAAAGGGGAAAAATCCCAAGAAAAGTAAGAAAAACTTGGAAAAAAAAGGGGAAAAATCCCAAGAAAAGTGGAAAAATCTTGGAAAAAAAAGGGAAAAAAAACCCAGGAAAGGCTCAGAATCCCAGGAAAATTTGGGAATTGCATAAAAAAGGCGTTACCGTGGTCGGAGTGGTCGCGGTCGCTGTCGCTGCGGGCGTTTTTGGGATCGGTTTCGTCTCCGCTCGGGGATCGTTTGCGCTTCCGAGGCCCCTCCGGATCCCAGCGGAGCCCGGAGCGGCTGCGCAAACCCCGCCGCCTCGGCTGAGGGGAAAAAGATTGGGAATTTGGGAAATGTTGGGAATTTGGGGGAAAAAAAGGGGATGTGGGGGGAAAAATGGGATTTTTTTGGGGGGGAAAATGGGATTTTGGGGGAAAAAAGAGGGGTTTTGGGGGAAAAAAATGGGATTTTTGGGGAGGAAATATTGTGAATCTGGGGAAAAGAAATGGGATTTGGGGGGAAAATGGGATTTGGGGGGAAAATATTGGGATTTTGGGAAAAAAATTGAGTTTTGGGAGAAAATATTGGGATTTTGGGGAAAAATATTGGGATTTTGGGGGAAAAAATGGGGTTTTGGGGAGGAAATATTGGGATTTGGGGGGGAAATATTGGGATTTTGAGAAAAAAATGGAATTTTGGGAGGGAAAAAATGGGATTTTTGGGGAAAAAATGGGGTTTTGGGGGAAAAAAATGGGGTTTTGGGGGAAAAAAATGGGGTTTTGGGGGAGGAAAATATTGCGATTTTGTGGGGAAAATAGTGGGATTTTGGGGAAAAAACTGGAGTTTTGGGAGAAAACATTGGAGTTTTGGCAGGAAAGTTGGTGTTTTGGGAGAAAAAACTGGGATTTTGGGGAAAAGTCGGGATTTTGGGAGAAAAGGTTGGAATTTTGGGAAAAAAGGTTGGAGTTTTGGGAGTAAAGGCTTCAAATTTTGGGAACAAAGGGTTGGAATTTTGCAAGTAAAAGGCCCCAATTTTGGGAATAAAGGTTGGAAATTTTTGAGTAAAGGCTTTGATTTTTGGGAACAAAGGGTTTGAAATTCGGGGATTTTGAGAACAAAGAAGGGAATTTCGGGATCCATCCTGCACTTCCCACTCCAATCCCATTCCCAGCCCCCCAAAATCCCAAAAAAAACTGGAAAAATCCCAGAAAAAAGCAGGAAATTCCCAAACTCACCATGGTGGTGTTCCAGGGCAGCATCCTGTCCCTGCTCCTCCTGCCCATCCCGGCATTCCCAACATCCCAAAATCCCCGGGATAATCCCCAAAATCCCCGGGATAATCTCCGGGATAATCCCCAAAATCGGGCACCAAACTTTGGGAAAATAGGTTGGAAATTTTTGAGTAAAGGCTTCGAATTTTGGGAACAAAGAGTTGCAATTTTGGGAATAAAGGGTTGGAATTTTGGGAATAAAAGGGCTCCAATTTTGGGAATACAGGGTGGGAATTTTGGGAATAAAGGTTGGAAATTTTTGAGTAAAGGCTTTGAATTTTGGGAACAAAGGGTTGGAAATTTGGGGAATTTTGAGAACAAAGGAGGGAATTTTGTGCTTCCCTAAGGAATCCTGCTCCGATTTTGCCCAAAATCCCAAAAAACCAAAAAAAAAAAGTGGGAAAATTCCCGAACTCACCATTGCAGTGTTCCAGGGCAGCATCCTGTCCCTGCTCCTCCTGCCCATCCCGTAGGGAGCGCTCCCATTCCCATTCCCGGCGCGCCCCATCGCCGCCATTCCCAACATCCCAAAATCCCCGGCATAATCGCCGGGATAATCGCTGGGATAATCCCCAAAATCCCGGGGATAATCCCCAAAATCCCCGGGATAATCGCCGGGATAATCGCCGTAATCTCCAGGGTAATCTCCGGGATAATCYCCGGGATAATCCCCGTATTCCGGCACCAACGCTTGGGAAAACAGCGAGGGCAGCGGCCGGGATCCCGGAATTCCGCGATTTCCCGGGAATTGCAGCTCATTCCAGCGGGATCCCGAGGGAAAAGGCTCCGGGATCCTCCCCGGGATCCTCCCCCGGGCGTTTTGGGATCGGTTCCGGCCGTTCCCGGTGCCGTTCCCGCGGAAAATTCCGAAGGTTCCGCGGCTCCGCTCGCGGCTCCCGAAGGCGTTTTCCCGGTCGGATCCGGGATCTGGGAAGGGAAATCCCGACAGGAACGGATCCCGCTCCGAGCTCAGCGAGGGACGGGAGTCAAACGAGTCAAACGAGTCGAAACGGAAAGAGCTGGAAAAAAAATGGGAAAAACGGGATTAGGGCGTGGGAAAATGGGAAAAAATGGGATTGGGGGGTGGGAAAATGGGGAAAAAATGGGAAAAATCGGGATTAGGGGTGGGAAAATGGGAAAAAACGGGATTGGTGGTGGGAAAAGGGGAATAAATGGGATTGGGGGTGGGGAAATGGGAAAAAACGGGAAAAATTGGGATTAGGGTGTGGGAAAATGGGAAAAAAACGGGAAAAATTGGGATTAGGGTGTGGGAAAATGGGAAAAACGGGATTAGGGTGGGAAAAAACGGGATTAGGGCATGGGAAAATGGGAAAAAACGGGATTGGGGTGGGAAAATGGGAAAAAAATGGGATTGAAGGGTTTTAAAATCAAGAGTTTCAAGTGGGTTTTGCGTCTCAATAAATGTTTGGAAAATTTGGATTAAAGGGTTTTAAAATCTRGAGTTTCCCAGGATTTTTATGTCTCAAGAAAGCTTTGGAAAAATAGGACAAATGTTTATCCTGGAACCCTTCCCATTCCCATTATGCCTTAAAGAAATGGGAATTTTTCTGAAAAAAGAGTTAAAATTCGGAATGAAACCTTTGTCAATCACTCAAATTCATGGGAAAAACACCAGAATTTTGGGACAAAACACGCAATTACAACACAAAACTTGGGAATTAAATTAAAAATAAAAAAATTAATGAAATTTTGGGACAATTCCCCACCTGTGCTGCTGCTCAGCSCCGTCCCCCGGCGCGGCGGCCGTGCCCTCCTTGGCCAGCAGGTCCAGGCGCTGGTTGATTTTGGCGATGATGGAGTCGGGATTTTCCTGCGCTCCGAAGGCTCCCGAGGAGGAATTTTCCGTTGCCAATCCCAAATCCGGAGCTTTGGGAGCCTCCCAGGAGGAGGAGGAGGAGGAAGGGGCTCCCCCCGAGCTGCCGTAGGCGTAGGAGGCTCCTGGAGGGGTGGGGGCCGAGCTCTGMGGGGTGTAGTAATCGTAGCTCTCGTAGCCTGKGSAGATTGAGGGGTTAATTAATTAATTAGTTAATTAATTGATTAATTAARGGGGTAATTCTGTTATTGGAAAAGAGGGGTGGGGYTGGATCCCAACAGGAAAAAACACAGAATCATTCCAAAGACATTCAGGAATTGGATGAGTCCTAACCTTCATAATCTGCAGTAATTTATTAACTAATTGGTTATTAATTGATAACGAATTAATTAATTAATATGATAATTCATTATTAAAGAATTAATTCTGATATTTAGAAGCTGCGGTGGGGCTGGATCCCAAGAGGAAAAAACCCGGGATCATTCCAAGGGAATTTAGGGAATTTTGGGTCTGGGGGGTGTAGTAATCGTAGCTTTTGTAGCCTGGGGGGATGGAGGGG